TTAAACATATAAGATTTTTCTCATCTTACCTTCGTGTTGTGTCATCGTTTTATTGTAATACCAGCTCTGCTACAATTGAATTACAGAAAAAGTTATAATGTTCAACAATGCTTATGACTAGTTAAAGTAATTTAAAGCTGTACTCTATTTCTGAATACAGGCTGTACCCCTATTTATATACGCCAGACAGTTCTTTTTCTTGTTCTGTTACAATGACAGTGACTTCAGGTGAGTTGCAAATTGTGAAGGATGGGACGGAGAGTTTCAAACTCACCTAAACAGATTGAGAAAATGATACAAGTTAAAAAGAAAACATTGTTTTCTGTTTTGTTCTGTTACAAAGGCATTGATTATTCTTCAGGTGCATTGCAAGTTGCAAATTCACCTTTAAGAGAAGAAATGCATATACATTTCGTATATAATATTAAAATGAAACAGCTTTCATTCTATTACAGCACGAGTAGTCTGTAGGTAAGTTGTAAAATCACCAAACACTGAATAATATGAATTAAAACTGAATAACATTCGTTTTGCGTATTTCCCTTACAATAGCAGCAACAACTTTCAGCTTAGCTGTAAATTGAGCTAGACGGTGTGGTTTTGTATGTTGAATATGAATTATTCCGTCTTGAATATGTCGCTACTTTATACGAAAGTTCTTTTAGTAATTTGATAACAACCTCTTTCTGGACGGACTTGAAAAACGTTTCTCAGAAAAAATATGCGTATATTTTGTAGGAGAAGAAAAATAGTTTTGGAGTTAATTAACAAATGTGTATTTTTGTGCATAATTGTTCACGGTTTGCTATTTTCCGTGCACTAAAAAATATTTTGACATGTGTACAGTTACACTAGATGCATGGAAAAAGACTATTGATTGACTACTGAGATTTTTTATGCACGGTTTTTGAAGAACGAGTTTTATCAGCTCTTTTGTCACGATTATTTGTATCACTTGTCGACACAATTATTTCATTTTGAAAATTAAACAATACGCAAACTTGAAAATCTGGATATTTCTACTTGACGAACAACTATATGTGACTTCGGTGCTATCTTTCACATTTTACATTCGTAATTTTGATACTTGAGTATGATTTAAATAAACGTCCAAATTATGTTTTTCTAAAAGATTATTAACAAAACTCCAAGCTTTTCTTGACATGATTTTTGTTTAAAGAAGAAATGTTTAGAGTGTATTCTGAACGGTATGGGTTGAATTAATTCTCAAAGAGATGATTCATCAGGTGGACTTCAAAAAACAAGTATTAATACACGCTACACCAATTTTCAAAATTTATCATACATTTCAGTCACTAAATACCCTAGAAAAAGTACATAGACGTTTGTATTAAATGAGACATCTGTTCATCTATCATCTTATTTGTTTAGCCATCTGCATGTGAAACGAAAATCTCTTTATTCGTTGACAAACCGTGCACAAATCTGTCTTTATTTTTATTTCATTAATTATGTGCACAAAAAACATTTTCCCAGGAGGATGAGTAGAGAGAAACAAATTTTGTTTCCATTTAACCAAAGTGTGAAATTTACTTTTACTGCACGATAAATGAATTAAATACTTTTTTTAAGTTATAGACTGGCAGCTCGTATTATGGCAGACATTTTTTATCGTAAACTGGATGCATACATTGCGAATCTTTCGGAGAAAAAACGTTCGAGATACACAATTAAACAGACAATGTACAACCAGATATTCGATGTTCTGAAACACGGAAAAGCATCGACAGCCAGTTTTAAATATCAGATTGAACGAGATTTTCAGTTGGATAAGTTAGACGTTATTCACTCAATCAAGAAAGATAAAAAAATAAAAAGATTCTTCAAGTAATTACGCATGAACAACTTTATGATAAGATTAAAGAGTACCACGAAACACCACAGGGACATCGTGGACGCGACGCAACATGGAAAGAGGTTTGTATTATTTACTCTAAAAGTAACTTCCTAGAAAATGTACTGGGAAAATATAACAGCAAAAATTCCTTATTTATATCGTGCACATGTCAAATTCGTCAAGGGGGCACATTTGAAGACTTTGCCATCGTTTTTCTCTAAACTCTGATCAACTCACTGTTGTGTATTTATTTAGATCAGTTCTAGATACGGTCGAGTTCCATATAAGGCAGTTCAAATTTATATCCGCGTCTGTAAAAAATGTACAAACAAGGAAGATGTGGAACCCATCTCAGAGCTAAAACCAGTTGAGACAACACTTCATTTCATGTCGCACATTCATGTTGAATTAATCGATAAAAGAAGCAATTCTGATTCGACGTTCGAATGGCTAATGCACATGTGGGATCGTAGTACAAAATATTCTTGGCTGATTCCGCTAAATGATGACAGTGCGGAGACAATTTGTCTAACATTACAATCTATATTTAGTCAGTTCGGAGCCCCTCGTGTTCTTTCCTCAAACAGGGATGAAATTCTCATTCAAAACGTAATAAAAAACTTGACTTCAGCTACTTGGTTGAGCTATATAAATATCACAACGGTTCCTCCCGAAACTTTTCGTTTCGGCCATGAACTACTAGATAGACTGAAGTATGAAAAGTTTCGAAGTTGGTGTATAATTTTGGGTAAGTAGCATCGGGCAACTCATTACAAAAATAAAATAAGGAGAGAATGAGGTCTTATTGTGTTTAGAGCCTATAACAGTAGCCTTGAATACAACGGTCTATGAAGGCCAATCAAAATCTCCATTTGAACTTGTTTTCCGTTACAAACCAAATTATAAACAACAGGTCAATAATTTAATCATTGAATGGATGAATAAAAATCGAATAGTCGAGTACAGCAGTGAGATCATCAGCATCACAGATTCTAATTTCCCACTACCTATTTACGCAAACGAAGTTACAGTAATGGCAGGTGAGAATAACAGCAATTCTACAATAACCGTGAACTCCATGCTTGTCGATACATTTCAAACTGTCGCTGAGCGTAAGTTAAGCTTTGTTTTCATGCTGCTTAATAGTGTCGTACTTACAGCAGATTATGTCGAAAGTAGCGTCATACTTTGAATCAATGATGAAAGAGTACTTCTGACCTAATTTACGAAATATCAACAGTTTATTCCAGTCCAAAGAGCGAAAAACTGATGATCTTCTCTTATATAAAAGTCCAAATTAATTCTACTCTTCTCATTCAGAAAAATCAGCAAGCCCTTTATCCTCATATGTTCATTGTAATTGGTCCTAAAAGCAAAACTAATTATTTGACCGAGGCTGGCAGCGTCATTGACCTGGCTAACAACTCAGTCGTTTTACTGTTTAATCTCAAACAAGTTGTCTAACAAAACTCAACAAAGTGAGAGTTGTATAGTATGACAGATAAACAGACGTAGCGGCGAGAGCTAAATTAATGGTAACTTATTTTAATCAGACTTTTAAAAATTAATTAGAGAAAGATCCTTGAACCTGTCACAGATGGAACAGGATTTTTCTTTTATAGTTTGAACAGAATATTTCTTCTTTTCTCACGAAAAAGGCTTTACTCACTATCAATGAGCCGTTAGTATAGTTGAATCATTCAGGCTTTATTAGAATCGCCAGAATCCAGAGACCGGTTCATTCCCTTTCAATACCGTTCGGCTGGCCCCTTCGAACGGACAAATATAATTACACAGATCTGATTACAGTTTTGTGAGCTTGATGACAGTTGTGAGCAGTAATGGCAGCGTAAAGTGCCAGCCTCCAAAAAGTATATGTCTTCTTAACAAGAGATCAAGGAGAGCTGGGAGTTGTCTCCAATTGTGAAGGACAATTCATTCTCCCATACACTATGTTTGGTTTGATTTCCAAGGCATCTACCCGCCATTTTGATTGCTTGGTTTATGAGGAAAAATATTAAAATAAATAAATTAAAATTGGTCTATACAAAATCAAGTACAGGAATACTCCTTTCAAGTAAATAGATGGAGGGAGCTGGAGAGAGAGAGTTGAACACTATACATTCATCAGCAGAGAAAATGCTGCTTGACAATGATTATTAATCATTTATTACTAATTAACTAATAGAATTAATTTAGCGACTGATCATAAGAATTACGGCAGAAGTTAGTTTCTGCTAGATAGGCAGACAGTTGTATTAGATGTTTCGTCTAATATCTCGTTTGCCACGTGCGAGACAACCTAGATCTCTGTTCAATGGTTCTGCATTTTTTGGTCGTGTCGCTGATGAATCAGACGCTGTTTCTCTGTGAGACGTCGAATCTGTATACAGATGATGCATTCGATGGCATCTGCATTTAAGTATTGCAGATGTATACAAGTATGTATGGTCTTTATTTCATCTTAGTCTTGAGCTAACTGTGACTTAGATGAGGTTCCGAACACAGACTTGGCTTGTTACCAGTTAGGCTTGGTACCAATCTCACCAATCTCCAGTTAGGCTTGATCGAATGTAGTAGGCAAAAGTTTCATCGTACAAGCTAAGATGGAACCGTCATGCACCATGCGCTTAGAATAAGTTTTTCGTGCTTCTTTTTTACTTCAAAAAGATCACCCTCTCAGAAGTTTGTTCTTATTTTTCTGTTGACGAGGTTTATTTTAGCCCACTATCCGTAGTTTTAAAATTATTTAATTAATAGATCAGCGTCACTTCCACCATCGCCTATGAAAAATTAAACAATCGTTTAAACGTTGAACTTTTATGCCACTTTCAGGTCTTAAACGACGGTTGAGTGTTTTTATTTTGCTGACTGCTGTATTTGCACTCAAAGATTTTATATGTCACGTAGCTATATAAAACTAAGTCTCGCATTTCATATATTTTTTGAAACCGAATCCTAACTGGAGATTGGTCGGATTGGTACCAAGCCTAACTGGTACCAATCCTCCTAGCCTAAGATTGGAACTGGTGCAAGCCTAGTTTGAATAGATGAGCATCCCACTTGTTGCCTGATTTTGATGGTTAATTAAGGCTCAGACGAGAATCCATTTGAGCTTGGTTGATTTTTTCGTTATGTCGCTAGACCATATACATCAAGCTCGTATTATTAATCGTGCTCTTCTCCGTTAAATCTGTTAGCTTACTTTTCTCCCAAACTGCTGTAATATAAATAAAGTGGAAAAGATCTTCGAACCTGTCACAGGCGAAACGGGATTTCTGTGAACATCAATTCTGTCACTTCATTCACATAGAATAGGTGATCTGCAGCTTACAATTGTGCAACAGACCTCTCGAACAGTTGTCTCTACATACCATATGCTCAAAAGTTACTTAGAAAATTACATCAGGTCTACTTGTATTTCTTTTCTTCAGCATCCACAGTAACATATGCGCCAACATCAAAAACATTAGCAATTAGGTTCAATCTTTCAAGCGAAATAATTAACATAGTAGGACAATTATTATACAACATAACACCATCTAAAATTACTTTATCCAGAAAAGCATTAGCGCCTCAGGACATTCAACTAATTAGTAATGCATTAAAAGTAAATCAAAGTCTAACACAACTTGATTTGACTTTTACCGAAATTGGTGATAATGGTGCTCAAACATTAAGTGATGCATTAAAAGTAAATCAAAGTCTAACTCAACTTGATTTGAGTAGTAACAGAATTGGTGATAATGGTGTTCGAGCATTAAGTGATGCATTAAAAGTAAATCAAAGTCTAACTCAACTTAATTTGAGTAGTAACTTAATTGGTCATAATGGTGCTCAAACATTAAGTGATGCATTAAAAGTAAATCAAAGTCTAACTCAACTTAATTTGAGTTGGAACGGAATTGGTGATAATGGTGCTCAAACATTAAGTGATGCATTAAAAGTAAATCAAAGTCTAACTCAACTTAATTTGAGTAGTAACTTAATTGGTCATAATGGTGCTCAAACATTAAGTGATGCATTAAAAGTAAATCATAGTCTAACTCAACTTGATTTGAGTAGTAACAGAATTGGTAAAGATGGTGTTCGAGCATTAAGTGTTGCATTAAAAGTAAATCAAAGTCTAACTCAACTTAATTTGAGTAGTAACTTAATTGGTGATAATGGTGCTCAAACATTAAGTGTTGCATTAAAAGTAAATCAAAGTCTAACTCAACTTGATTTGCGTAGTAACTTAATTGGTGATAATGGTGTTCGAGCATTAAGTGATGCATTAAAAGTAAATCAAAGTCTAACTCAACTTAATTTGAGTGGTAACTTAATTGGTGATAATGGTGCTCAAACATTGAGTGATGCATTAAAAGTAAATCATAGTCTAACTCAACTTGATTTGAGTGGTAACGGAATTGGTGATAATGGTGCTCAAACATTAAGTGATGCATTAAAAGTAAATCAGAGTCTAACTCAACTTCATTTGAGTGGTAACGGAATTGGTGATAATGGTGCTCAAACATTGAGTGATGCATTAAAAGTAAATCATAGTCTAACTCAACTTGATTTGAGTAGTAACAGAATTGGTAAAGATGGTGTTCGAGCATTAAGTGTTGCATTAAAAGTAAATCAAAGTCTAACTCAACTTCATTTGAGTAGTAACTTAATTGGTGGTAATGGTGCTCAAACATTAAGTGATGCATTAAAAGTAAATCAGAGTCTAACTCAGCTTGATTGGAAAATAAACGTACTTGGTGAAAATGGTGTTCAAACATTAAGTGATGGATTAAAAGTAAATCAAAGTCTAACTGAACTGCAGTTCAGTTTTAACAGAATTGGTGATAGTGGTGCTCGAACATTAAGTGATGCATTAGAAGCAAATCAGAGTCTAACTTAACCTGATTTGAGTAGGAATGTATTTGGTGATCAAGCGAAATAAAATATATAAAAGTCGCTGAAAAACATTTTTGTGCTATCCATTTATAGACTTGATTTATAATTGTCACCAGTGTATGCTTAGGAGAATTAGCAAACGTTTCATAAGTAGGTCCTCGACAAACTTTTGATGGAACTTGATATGATAGCTATGTCTGGAGCGGTAGTAGAATGATTTTTCAAAAATTTCAGGGTGTTTGTGGCCTACAATCAAAAGTATAGCAAGAGTATTCGACTGATATTCGAAACTGATAAACAATATTCCACATTAATCGGTTTTCAACAATTGCTAAAAGCCCAGCAGATTAAAAATCGTTGTTTTCCATTTTTTAGGATTAAGAGTTGTTTTGATTGACTATATCATTATTTTAGTTTAGTTCTGTACGGCAAGGTATAGAAAAAAATACTTAGTTTTTTCTGTTCTCTTACACGAAATTTCTCCTTCCGATTAGGTACTAATATGGAAGAAAAGAATTATTGTCGGCTTCATACGCCTCACTTGTTTTTTACAGATTGACAAGAGTGGAACAGAAAGAAAAAGAATAAGAGAGAAATAATCATCTTACAAACACAAAACCGTAGTAAAAAGAGTTAAATAAAAGGGTTGAATAAATAATAACTCTGTTCTCTAAAATCTAAAAGAATGCATTATTGATGAAGCCAATTAGTAATGATGAGCTACAATATAGGAATAATATCATCTATTCAGATGTCGTGTTGATACGCTCAGTCAACATACTTATCAGCATTATCTTCATTCATGCATAGCTAATTCAACATAAAATATGAGTTTTCTTATATTACTACACATACCTTCGTATATTCCTCAACAAAAAAACAAGAACAATGTTCGCATTATGTACACTAATATCAGGGCTCGCAAGCCTCGGTAGGGACACTTTCTTTCGTTTTGCTAGTGAAAAAAAGTGGATTAGTTCGAAGATGCTGGTTATGATAGTGGTTGGAGAGGATTTAATTATCCTTTTTGGTCAGCATTAAGTCTCTAGATAACATGTATTATTATTGTTTTATTTTTATTAACATACAATAAATAACACCAGTCGCTGCTGTAAATGAGATAGCGAACGCAATCGGCTAAATTATTCTGTTGTTGTCAATGTAATCGTTTATGTGATGTATGTACTGTATTCCGTCCAAATCGTCCTTGAAGAAAAAAATGTCTAAGTTTATTTTTAACATTATTTGTTTTATATCTTTAAAGCATGATTGTACTAGATTAAAGATACATTGATCTAACTGCAAGCTGGTTGAAATCCTGTTCTAGCTGGAGATGGACGCTGCATTGATCACTTGCATTGGGCACTTTATTGCTGAATTAGTGGACAGCCGTAAACTCCATACAATTCAAGCTGGTAAAATAGTATTTTTGTAAAGATTGTCGTTGAACTTTACTTGTTTCGAATATCAGCTAGAAATTTAAATAAATGCATAACGCGTCGTTCGATAGACCGTAAAGTATATTGATTCTAACGCATTATTTTTAATTGATCGAGATATTCCATTGTTGTGATTGTCTCTCGGATTCTAGGGTATTTCAGTTAAAGTCTCGCGACATTATTTTGACACTTTTATAGATTGAAAATGCAGAGCTCAAAGATATTATGGGAAGAT